TAGTAAAAATGTATATGTGAATTTTAATAGGTATTATAGATTTAAATGGGGACTCTAAATTTCAGCATCAGCCAATTTTAGCATCATCCCCGACATTTTTTAAGCCATTTTTTTGTCTTGTTTTAGGAATAGACATCAATCTGCTTCTCTTTTTCATCTAAATCTTTAAGTTGTATAATTTTATGTGAAAAACTTGGTTAATATTTTTTATCCTCATTGATAAAGCATATACATATTCCAACCATAGTGCCTAAATAATAATTGATATCTATTTCCATGTTTCACTCTTTTGCTATATTCATATACTCCATATAATCTCCAACTCTGTGTAGTATCTTTCTATCCTGTTCATTATAGAGGGGCGGGCCTTTGATAACTACATAGCTAAACCATTTACCAGGATCAGGAATCCTCTCATTTCTATTTTTCATATGTTCTATAAAGCAATTGTTGCAGAGATTTTTTTCTTAGACTTTCATGTACCTATTACGATAAATTCATTAAAATTCTATTCCTTGTTCTGTGCTTCTCTAAGAGTATCTTCAACAATTTTGTAAATTGAATATGTATTATTTATATCCATAGCCTCTCTTATAATCCTTTCTCTAATGAATTTGAGAAGCTGTGATTTATCTTGTTTTATGCTATCTATTCCTTTCATGAAAAGGTTTTTTAGTTTAAAGTTTACTTCATCTTTATGTCCAATCCCAAAATACTTCTTTTTGCCAGTAAAGCAAACAGAAAATAATACCTTTTCATATACTATATTTAGATAAGAGATCACACTTTTTATCCTAAGATAGGTATTTATTTGATTGTACAACTTTTCTATCACAACCATAGTAATTTTGACTATTTCAGCCCAGTACGCTTCTTTGAAAAGTTTTTTTCTAGAGAAGGCCTCTTCATATTTATTGTAATATCTATTTGGGCAAGTAAGATACAAAGAATCAGTATCACTGTATTTTATCTCAAACATTTCTTTGTTACTAATTCTGCTACAAGATTAAGGTTGTATTTTCCTGCTGAAGTAGTTCTTTCAGCTAATACATAAAGAAAGATTAGAGATTTTGAGTTTTCAGCCTCCCTATAAAAAGTATTCATATATACCTTCAGGGCTTTTTGCTTTGAATCAAAATAATCATAATCGAAGCATACAGATAAATATTCTAAATTTAAACTCTCTGGAATTCTTTTGCCTCTTTTTTTAGCTAAACTTATCATCTTTTCAAGTCATTTCTTCTTCTTTTCTAATAAGGCAAGATGTGCTTTAAGCTTTACTCTCTTGTTGAATAAATCCTCTAATACAACAGGATATAAACTTTTCTTTTCGAATTGATTATCATGCCTTACACTCCAAGCTTGGATGGTGTGGTTATTAAATAGAAACTTAATCTTATACAACCTGCTTCCATTATTTTGCGCAATATTAGCCTCTCTATGTGTTAGTATTATTTTATCTGAAGAGAGATTGTAAGCCATTATGAGACTGGGATATAATGAAGCAAAATCTAATCCCATTACAGATCTTCTCGTTTCAATCCCTTTTTTAGGTGGAAATACGTACATGCCAGGATACTTACCCTTTTCTGTGTTTTCAGGTATTCTTGTGCTAATTACCATATCTTGTTTAAAAGCATAAGCACCTAGAAGATTTCGTACCTTCATTTCATTCGCACAGTAGTGTAATTCGAATAAAGATACATAAGCTATTGAAGCGACTTCTCTGTAATCATTTATTTGACTTAGCTTGACCAAAAGCTCTTGACAGCATAGTGCATCTATAATACAGTAATGTGCTACTTCACACATATTTCTCGCAGTTGACGAGAAGGAGCTTTTTTTCACTCTAAATAGATTTTCCACATTTTATCATATAGCATGTCGGCCTTAGTCTTAAGACCGCATTTTTTTCTAAAAAGAATTTAAATGAGCCTTTCTTTTCGACTTCAGAATGAGAGAACCATTTTTTGAGGCACACCCGGGTATCAATTGGTATATAACCTGGCAGTTTAAGGAAGCTAGAAGTAAAATCCTCTTCCACACTAATTTTGTTTTTAATAGAACCGCCTATATATTCTTTCTCTGCTGGATCCTCCTCGCCTTGCTTAGGAGGCTTAACAGTATTCTTTGCCTTAAAAACATTTTCAGATTTCGCTCCTATCTTTTCGCAATATTTTCATTTTAGAATTTTTCCTTTGTTTCAAACTTTTCTGTTATTTGCTCCCATATCCATTTGAGTATATCGAGTTGATATACTCTCTCTATAATAAAACACCAATCATAGTTAGAATCATTAAACCCAGCTTGGATATCAGTGCAAATGCTCGCCAGCAGAGAGCAAACACTTTCAGCAAATTTTCTTGATTTCCACAAATAATTATAGTCCAGCATGAATCTGGTTCTGTCTCAACATCAACAAGACATATTTGCTTTAGTAGTTTTGGATCATCTTTCTAATACAATATTATACAAATCATAAAAACATTATGGTTCAGATCAAGGACTTTGTGAAATTCATCCAACTCTTGTGATTGTATCTCTATATCCCACGTGAAGACAAGAGTACGATCCCTTAAGAGAGCTGTAATAGGAAATTGATCACTTATTGTTGTAAAATTTTCTAGCGGACAGAAATCTTTTATAGACACATAGAATTTATGCAGACAGAGCGAGCTGGTCTATTTGCCTTTTTTGTATATATATTTGTTTATTGTAGACTACCCAGAGAGTTGGATTCCATTTTCTCAAGCTACCTTTTGGTGGAATGAATATAAATCATCTGAAGCAGTTTCAAAATTATTATCTTGAACAGCTTTGATGCTCTCTTTCTCTCTCCAATACCATTTGTATAAATTCGTAAATATGGTTTTTTTTCGGTATAGTATCCGTGAAAAGGAAATGCTTTAATATGCTCCATTTTAAATGATTTCATGATGCCAAAAAGAATTTCGCTTACCTTTTCTTTGTATTTATCTGGAGTTTCTCCATCTAGTATGTGAATATCAAAGAAAACCTGAATGCCTATAAGAGTTACCAGTACCTTTTGGCCATTAATAGGGCGACTATAAAGATGCAATACATAGCGATAAGTTCTATTTATCTTTTCTGTTGACCTTTTATTCTTAATAGCCATAAATGGAATATCACGATGATTTGCTATTTCATTTTCAAGAATTGTGGACAATCCCTCATCACCATTTTCTCT